TCCTTCATCCACAGCTGGTTGCCATTAGCCTTGCTTCCCCCACAGAACGGCAAAGCTTTCTTGCCACAACATGGGTCAATGCTTGGTCACATCCCACCACCTCCATCAAGGCCGCTTGTCATACCACTTCCCAGCCTAGTTGGGCATACTCTGCCACTGCTGCCTTGCTCCTAGGAAGTTCTGCCTCAACTACATCTTTTCTTATTCTGGCATCCCTGTTTCTTGACTTCTTAGACAAGGTCCAACCCTTCCTCACCTCCTGATCTGAGAATATCCTGGCAGAACTCATCCGGCTGCCAGACTACACTGGGCCTGCTCCTGCTAGTCTCATCCATACCCCATTTCCTCACTGTAGGATCTGATGCACCAGGCACAATTTGCAGCTCCACAGAACATGTCTTACCCCATATCACACCCCTGGGAGCTTGCCCCAGTGCTAGTCTCCATTCGCATCTCTTCACTCCCTCAACACTTCTGTGCAGTGATCTTAATGCCTCTCCTAACACAGGCAATATCTGTACCAGTAACTGCACTGCTGCTTTTCTTTGCAGGATTTAAGAAGTGGTCTGGTGCTGACTGCCGTGAAGCTTATCCCTTCGTGTGCAAGTACACAGTCCTACACTGAGCAGCAGGTCCCACAGCCACCAGTCCCTGCTCCTTGTGCTATCCTGACAGCTTCGTCACATGGCAAAGCTTGATCTAGTTCCTGCCAAGGAGAAACACACAACTTGTCCATAAGCCATGACTATTCCCTGCAGTGATCTCTGCTGTTCTGTCTTAGCAGGGCTGGCTTTATTCCACTAAATGTCTCTCTTGCTGAATGAATTTTGTGCTACTAAACGGCTTCAAACCAATGGCAGTAGAATGTGAAATCTCATAGTTGCAGGCTGGAGGCCGTCTCCCCCTTCCTAGTTCAGAGGTTTGTGTGATTCACTTGGAGATATCTATTATTGTGTTAAGTATCTCTAGCATAATCCTTCCCTGTGTTACCTGCCCTACAGAGAGAAAACCCTATTTCTACCCCATGACCTATTGACTCTGTGCCAGTGATACCAACAGGAGGGCCTGTTAGTTATCAGTCCAAAGTCTCTTCATGTAGACTCCCATTTACTAAAGACTGGGCTGAGAACCATCAGCTCATGTTACACAAGCTGAGCCCACCCCTCTTCCCCAGCTATCACAAGGGAAAGATTATTGGTCCTGAATGGGCCTACATCAGATGTGACTCTGCAAGGCAAAGCAATGATCCTGTTATCTTGGGAATGTCTGCTCCTTCCTTCACCCCTGAAAGCTGCTGGCAGTGTGTGCTAACCTGTATCTCTGAATAAACAGCAATGGTACAGGTCTGTGCACAGGACCTCTGTTCATCTGTGCCAGGTTTTGTCTTATGGTTGGCGGGTACGTCTGGTTTTCTAGGGAATGCTATGGAATGAAGCTGTTTCCATAGGCCCATCCTCACCCTCTACCACAGATAAGAACGCGGTCACAGGACACTTGTCACTGCAGTTAGCCTGGACTCTTGCGTGGGTTTGCCCCCCACTCCTCATCCACACCTGTTTGGCTTTCACTCATGAGTGTAGCGATACTTTCATCCAGTCTAGCTGGCTTAGTTTTGTGAGGGAGAGAAAGCATTAGAGGCCATATACCATTTTCATTCAGGCTGGTGAGGAATGTCAGCTTAATCCCTTGAGTGCTTGATAGTCCCCCAGGGCCTTCCCACAATCCTTCTTACATGCTCACAAGGACAGACAAGTTCTCCAAAAATTCACTGGTGTAGAATCATAGAGCAGCACAAAGAACCATGGGATCATGAGGGAATGCTTCCCTAGATAGGGCATATTAACTCTGGTAAGGGTTTTGCAGAGTGGCTGGCCACATCTAGGCTAGCCTCCCTGGGTGCTCAGACCCAGGTAGTGATCATCCTGAGAGCATAGGAGGTGTCCACAAAACTGTCCAAGATAGTGGGCCTACAACATCTCCTGAAAAGCTAAAGGCAGGAGATGTTGGCACTAGAGCCTGTGCAAGAGAGAGTCTGTGGCACATGTCTTTCATGGTTTGATGTGCTGATGGGGCCCAAAGCTACCAAATGTAGGCCAGAAGTCAAGAATGTGCTGAGCTTCAGCTGGCAGGAGGAGAGGTTGGAGGAGAAGTGGGGCACTGTGGTGGAGTCCATGCTCTGCTGTGGATCTTAAAGCACCTGGAAAAAGCTCTAGTTTCTTGTTGCATCCCAGGCTGGGGCCTGTTGGGATGGGGAATAGATGGAGGTGGGGTAGTCTGTAGGGCTTATCCTGGGCAGGAGTTTTGCACTAACCTTTTCCATCCAGGCCCCTAAAGGTCTCCTGTCATTGCTAAACTGGAGGCTGAATCTTTACCGCATCTATTTAGGCACCTGCTCACTTCCCAAGGCCCCCTTTTTACTCCTGGGGGGAGACCAGCAGTATCTCCTCAGTAGCTGCTGACAAAGAAACAGCTGCAAGGCTCTGCAAATAGATGCTAGGAGAGGCATGAATTCATGCTGAGAGCACAGCAGGAAACAGCAGCCTGCACCTCCTGGGGTGTGGTCTTCTCAGATCTAATACTTAGCCCCTAATTATGCTTAGACATAGTCCCTACCAAAGAGCAGTGAAATGGTCAAGGTGCTCCCCCTTGCTGACACCACAGGCAGCCACTGCCAAGGCTTTCCTGATGCTTTCAGGAAGTTGTCAAGCTGAGAATTGTCCCCAAATATTCTGTGGTTTTGTTGGAGGCCAGACTGGGCCCCCTTCAGATCCTGAGCCGTTTTTCCCCTCTTCCTTTTCCTTGATCAGATCGATCCTAGTCGTGTTTGCAGATAAACTTATGCACTTGGACTCTGTTAGCCAGGGCACTGGACCATTCATTGAGCAGAGATACAGAGCCATGGAAATGCCATTTGGATGTTGTCAAGTTTATTGGCATTACCTCACCAGGACAAGGGGCTATCGCTTGCTTGATGGCAGGATACTTGCACAGCAGCTGGTCTGTTTTCCAGAATGCAGCATTCAAGGCCTCACTCCTGATCTTCAAAGCTTTTAAATCAGCTGAGAGCTTGTCACTACGGTGATCAGCCCATGGTGTTGCAGCCCTCTGATGAAATGCAGAGAGCAAAGCCCACAATGAACCTTTGCATGAGACCTGGCTACAAGGGGTTGTACAAGGGGAGGGGTTAGACAAATTGGGAGCCCACTTACTTTCAGGAAATGCTGTAAAGCCAAGTGCCTTTAGGGCAGTGATATTCTCACTGGGGCTCTTAAGCCACAAATGAGTCTGCAACAGTTGGTCTGCAGCTCTTCATGGAAAATGTTATCAAAGGGACAGGAAAAGCATACCCTGAATATAAGATTAAGTGGTGCTGAGAAGGACAGAGCACTGTTGTGAAGTATATGAGAGCGCATAGCAGGGGAGGTGGTGAAGAAGCACTAGGGGCAAAAATAAACCCAGTGGGGAAGTTGGAGAATAGCCCCACTACTGCTCCTTAGCTTTGCCTCTTAGCTCAGTTGTGTGTGTTTTGTGAGGCCTGAAAGGAGAGAAGTCTGTGTGCTTAGGTCTGTCAGGAAGGACTGGGTCCAACCAGTCCAGCCACTTGCCAAGATCTAGAAATAAAAACCAGTTATGTGAAAACAGCCACTGATGATTGGCAGTCTCAAACTGTTGGATGTCACACACCCAGGTCCTGATTCTAGCAAAGTGCCAGTTCTTGGCAGCCCCCACAGCCCCCTTTGGGTGCCAATTAGAAGTTCTGCCTTGCCCTAGAACAGTGATTTCCAACCTTTTTAAATTTGTGGACCTCTAAAACATTTTCAAATGGAGATGCAGATCCCTCTGAATTGTAAATGTGGGTGTTCATATACTTTTAAATGACCATGGTCATCTTCTGCAGATGCCTTAGACAGTCTGTGGACCCTCAGGGGTCGGTGGACCACAGGTTGAAAACCACCCCCCTAGAAATAAGGTGGTCATTATTATCCCTCTCTCTCTCTCTCTCTCTCTTAGATCTCAAAAGCAGCCACTAGGTGGCACCAGATTGTCTTCCCCAAACGGGAGGGATCCTGTGCTAGTCCAAGAACAGGTACCAGGCTGCTCAGGGCTGATCATGTCGAGCGGCTCACAGGTCCTTGAAGGGGTCTGTCCCAGGCTGAGGATCCCACTGCAGTGTGCATTGCTGAGAGAGCCCATCCTGCACCCCTGCCCTCTGAATATGAATGTGCTCGTAATGAAATACAGAAGTAACCCCTGTGTGTTGGGGCAGGGCAGGTGGTTCCAGTAGTCAGAGAAGGTTTTTGCACGGTGGAGCTTAAGGGAAGGACTGGCCTGTGTTTTTTGGCAGCTGGTGACATTAATGGGCCCATCTGTGATGAAGAGGAACCCAGGAGGGTTTCCACAGCTGAGAGGGGAGCTGGCACTCTGGAGGGTGTTTGAGAGGAGGGTGAGGGCAGGGTGAGACACTAGGAGAGGTGTGCGGGTTCAGGACGGGGCAGGGTTTTCATGGCATAGCTGTTTGAGTTGGGTGTATGTAAGAGGTGCCCTGGTGGTCAGGAAGGAGTAGAGAAGTCTTGGCTTTCACTGGCTGTGAGAACATGTGCAGGGTTTGATGATGGTTAGGACACCAGATGTAGGGAAGTCTGGCTGGGGAAAAAGGGGCAAGCTTTGCAAACAAACCTCCCTCTTCCCCTGGAGCAGGGGTCAGCAACCTACGGCTCATCGGCTGGATGTGGCCTACAAAGAGATTTCATTCAGCCTGCGTTCAGCAGCGTGGGGAATCAACAGCATATGGTGGTGGCTGGGTTGCAGGCAGTAGCCAAGTCGCATGCACAGACCTGCCTGAAACTGAGCTCCATTAATTCGCTCTGTTGCTGCTGAAAGATTGCCGATTCCTGCCCTAGAAGGCAGAGAATGAATGGCTTCCTGGCTCCAGCACCCCGGGCTGTAAAGTACTTGGAGTAGCTTGGAAATGTAAGTACATACCTATCCTCCATCACTACAAAAAGGTGAGACTGAGCTCCTAGAAAGCATTGAAAGGGCACATGGTTGCTGGAGGTTGAGTCCGACCGAGACGGTGGGGACTTTGCCTTGCTGTGGAGCCGAGCCCGCGATGCCACGTGCCGCCTCGGGAACCACATTGGCTGTGCCTGGACCTGGATCGAGGAGCGCCGGGAGCTGGGAGTCTCCCTGTGACCAGCCCCGCACGCCAACCGCATCACTGTGACGCCCCGCATGAGGACCTTCCTGGAGAGGTTCCTGAAGGACGCTGTCCGAAACAAGTATGCCGGTGACCTGAGGGCCAAACCTGACCAGGGCAAGGTCTTCGACGTCACCTCGAAGTGGGATGCTAGCAACCACTTCATGCCCAGCGGGAGCTTCATGTGCTTCGCGGACTGGCGCTTCCTCCATCGCGCCCGCCTCAACTGCCTGCCTCTGAATGGGGCAGTGCGCTTCGGCTTGCTGGATCTACCCGCAATGAACCCGTGCTGATTTCCTTTCAGCATTATTTCCCCTGATGGGCTCCCACAAATGTGATCCTTAATGATTTTTTCCAGAGTTTTTCCAAGGATAGAGGTGAGACAAACTGGTCTAGTTTCCCGCTTCCTCCCTCCTCCCCTTTTTGAAAATAGGGACTATACTGGCCCTTTTCCAGTCCTCTGGGACCTGACTGGAGCACCATGAGTGCTTAAAGAGCTGTGCCAGTGGTTCTGCTGTGACACCAGCCAATTCCTTCAGCACCCTTGGATGAAGCATTGATTTGCTATATCATGTATTACGTATTAAAGCCACAACAAACTTGGCAAAAATAATTAAAAGTTGTTGTTTCTTTAGTCCTGTGGTCATTAGCAGTAAAAGTACATCTCTTTCAGATTCATAAAACAAAATCAAGCCTTCCTGAGCATCTTCACAGTGCATCCAGTATTTTGCTGAAAGCTTTTTCCACACCTGAGTTAATGTTTTTCGCTCAAGTTAAAAACAGTCTGTAAGGCTGTGAAACAGGAGCTACATTACCAGGAGCAGTGAACCCACAGCAGAATTG